TCCCAGCGCGCGGATGCAAATCTAGCACCTTTACATTGCTTGTTCATTAGTCTAATAGGAAAGAACTGGCAGCGGCCAGTGGCCTCCTTTATACCGTTAGAGTACAAAGTGCAGGTATCCGTATAAATCCAAGAGAACGCAACAAATTCTATATAACAACCTATGATCACACAATATCAAGGATATTAACATTCCACGCCCACCCTGCCAAATTCCGCCCATTCAAGAGCTGAAAGTCGTCTACGCCTTCAAGCTAGGGTTGCAAAAGGACGGATTTTTTGAATCTTGCACTTAGTATATGAGATCAGGCCATAGGGCCCTAGAATGTCAGAAGTATGGAAGCCGAAGAAAGGTTTGCGTGGACGTCATCTGACTTGAGGGCCCTCATGTTCCTTCGCTATTCCGAAGATTTTCGCGCTTCCGAAGTGGCATTATGCGCCGCGACTTGAAAATAGACTTGATAGAGGATCCTATTATTGTAATCTGCCAAAAGCTCGAGACCCCTAACTTAGGGTGAGAGGTGCCTTTGAGCTTTGCACGAGATGGTAAAATTATCAAGCGGCCGAAAATGGGCTTGGATGTTTTTTGAAAATTGACTCTCCATATCATTTTGTGCCATAAATGCCTTCGGCTACGATCTCACATGGCACCAACGGGGTCATATTTCCCACAAAAAATCAAGAAGCTCTTAAAATAAGGGATAAATGAGATATCGTATTGCTGTGAATTGCACCTCATATAGAGCTCATATTTTACACATTCTTGTGAGCCTTTTGCGTGACAAGGTAGAATTTGATCAAGATAAATTCACATCTGCAAGCAAGTAAATAAAAATGTTGACAACCTACAATTTGAAGCTCTGGAAATTACACAGGAAAAAATTCTTTTATACCCGCTGGAGACGCATTGTTTTGTAGCACAATATGATAAACCATAAATTTACTAGCACCGATCAACAAGCATCTGTTCTGACTCGGCGCATCATTATCCAAGTCACCCGTCGTTCCTGGGGGTGTAACAATAGTCAGCTGCAGGTGAAAGAGGCGGGGCTTTATTTCTAGTCAGCTCAAAAACATCTGCCAGAAGGTCTTTCAATCATCTACCACCTATAACTGGAAGCTAAAGCGTAGAGAAGCTTATAATCTCGAAATCTACCAAGCTACTGTACCTGCCGAGTAACAATTTGCTCCTACGATGCACCAACTTACGCCTGCAACCCGTGGAAAGCGCCTAATGCAAAGGATTCACACACTCCAATCCGAAGATGGAGGAAGTGCAGGCGGGGATTCATTCGATGATTTGGACTTCCCCAGTGTCCATCATGACGAGGAAGAGGAAAATCCCACTTCATCAGAACCTGCCGATAAAAATCTCTTATTCGTGCCAGGTTTTCATGAACTCAAATTGGGTGAAGGAGAGAAACCACCACATGAAAAGGTTTGCAAAATCTAATTTTCTTATGAACCCTCTTTCTAATTGATTGAATCCCCATTTTCAGGATGCTGTTGAGAAGATTAAAATGCGTGCTCGATCACAAAGTTGGATGATACGTACCACCAAAATTCTACACGAAGCCAAAGCAAGTTTTGCACCTACTTTTCTGACAAATGTCCGGAAGTTCCGCTGGATATTCAAAAAACGAATCGTTTGCAGCCCCCTAGAAAGTGCTGCAGAAGTTTCCGTTCTTGACAAGTCTAGCGTCCAATTTCTGGAAAGTTCCCATTTTGGAAACTTCGATTCTGTAATAGTGAACAAAATCCTGTAAAATAGCTGCAAAGCTTTTTTGTCCTGCGGAAGTTCCCTTTAGGTTGTTTGAGTAGGATACTTATTGGAACAACATGAATCTGAAAAAATCAAAAACATCTCATTTTGATGTTCGAAGCCGATTTCGAAAATATGATTGTGCAACTGGAAGAAAATGGTGTACCTTTTGATTTTTGTGAAAACTATAGAAAAGCGGAAAGAGAATAAAAAGAAACTTTCGAATTTTCATTTTCGTCCTTTACGCAAAAATTTATATATTTTCAGGAAACAAATCCGCTCATATCAACACTGATGCTCATCTTCTCTTTCGCACTTTTCATACTGGCATTTCCATTGAGCCTATTCTTCTGTATCAAAGTCATCAAGTAATATTTTACTGATTTCTAGATAATTTTTTTGCTCTTGAATTTGCTTAATTGCCAGGGAATATCAACGAGCTGTAATCTTCCGTGTCGGACGTTTGATCAAAAGCGGAACGAAAGGACCAGGATTATTTTTTATTCTACCATGTATCGACACATGCAAAATAGTGAGTGCCCATCTCTACTTTCCGTAAATGGGCATTCCCTGGGGGATATACTGGTCCTTGAAGGGATGATTGAGGGTCAAGTTTTTTGGAAGATTTCAGCGCTAGGAAAGTGCAAAAAAGGTTCGATATAACCTTTGTCAATCTGAATGTTGTGATAAGTCAATCAAAACGTCTCTCGAGCAGCGTATCCTTTGATTCAACCGAATGGCGGCTGGGAGGCGGGGTTCCGTGACCTAATCAAGGCTAGAGAACGATTAGGGAGCACGCGCGCGAGTGAGACGCAGACGCGGCGCGGATGGGAGCGGTCGCCCTT